GGAAAAGCCTGTGGAGGCCTGCGAATTTGAGGATAAGAAGTTTCCATCTGTGAGCCTAGTGCTTCTCAAACTTGACTGCAATTTAGAATCACCTGAGATACTTTAAAATGCTGATGCCATGGTTTCATACCTAGAGATTTTGATTTAATTGCCCTGGCAATCAGGGATTTTAACATTTCTCCAATGATTCTCTTAGGTAGTCAGCTTGAAAAATCTATTTGGCCATAGTGGTTTTCAATCCCAACTGAATGTTAGAATCCATGGTGAGGGGGACTTTAAAGACAATACCAAAGACAACACAGAGAACGGGAGACAACATTTGCAAATCACAGAGTATCTGATAAGGAACTTGTTTCAAAAATATAAAATAACTCTGATAATTCAGCAATAAAAAACAAACCCATGATCTGAATAGACATTTATTTAAACAAGGTATTACAAATGGCTAACAAGCACATGAAAATATGCTCCACATCATTAGCCATGAGAGAAATGCAAACAAAATCATGATGAAGTACTACTTCACACACAGTAGGATGACTGTCATAGAAAAGAGGGACAACAAGTGTTAGAGAGGGTGCAGAGAAACTGGAGCCTATATGCTTTGCCAGTGGGAATGTGAAATGGTATAGTTGCTTGGAAAACAATTTGGCAAGTCCTCAAAGGGTTAAGTATAGACTTACAATATGACCCAGCAATTCCACCCTTGGTATATACCTAAGAGAATTGAAAAAATACCCATATTAAAAGAATATGTCTGCACAAATGTTCACAGTAGTGTTATTCATAATAGCCAAAAAGTAGGGCTGGGAATGTGGCTCAGTGGCAGAGTGCTTGCCTAGCATGCATGAGGCCCTAAATTCAATCCCTAATGTGTATACACACACACACACACACACACACAAACACACACACGGAAAAACAAAATATATGAAAATTTGTGGCTAAGATTCCACTATGTATATATACTGTATATATAGAATCTTAGCCATAAAATTAATGAAATTCTTATACATTTTACAACCTGGGAGAATCTTGAAAGCATACTAAGTGAAAGAAGCCAGATATAAAAGACTACATATTGTATGATTTCATTGATGTGAAATGTGCTCAACAGGCAAATACATGGGGACAGAAAGTAGATTAGTGAAGAAAATTAGTGGTTGCCAGAGGTTGGAAGGAGGGAGGAATTCAGAATGATTGCTAATGAATAGGAAGTTTCTTTGGGGGGTAATGAAAATATTCTGGAATCATATGGTGATCTATATACACATCTTTGTGACTATCCTAAGAAACCACTGAACTGTATACTTTGAAAGGATGAATCTTATAATACAAGAATTATATCTCAAAAAAGTTGCTACCAACCACCCTAAGCCTAATAGCCCCCATCCCCCACTCTAGCCTAGACCCTATTAAATCAGAATATCTGGGAGTGGAGGGACCTAGACATAGGTTTACTTTTTAAAGTTCTGTATGCACAGCAGTATTGATAACTACATAGGAGACAAAAAGCTATCAGGCATTTAGTTCTACTCAGTCCCCTTTCACCCAAAACAATACCAGAATACTGAGTACAGAAATCCAAACCCAGTTTAAATGATAGGGTGGGTATGTGGATATTGCTTCAAATAACTTTTTATATATTTTATTTTTCTTTTAGTTATATATGACAGTAGAATGTATTTTGACATAATATGACTTTCCATTGTAAATTAACTTCCTATTATATATTATTATTCCCATAATAATAAAACTTCCCATTCTTGTGGTTGTACATGTTTGCAGAGTTTCACTTCTTGTGTATTCATATGTGACCATAGGAAAGTTATGTCTGATTCATTCCACCGCCTCTCCTATTCCCATCCCCCCTCACCTTCATTTCCCTTTGTCTAATCCAATGAATTTCTATTCTCCTCTCCCTCCCTCCACCTTATTGTGTATTATCATCCTCATATAAGAGAGAATATTTGGCCTTTGGTTTTTGGGGATTGGCTTATTTCACTTAGCATGATATTCTTCAGTTCCATCCATTTACCAGCAAATGCCATCATTTCATTCTTCATTATGGCTGAGTTAATTGTCAATATTTACCACATTTTCTTTATCCATTCATCTATTGAAGGACAACTTGGTTCCATAGCTTAGCTATTATGAGTTGAGCTGGTAAAAAAATTGATGTGGCCACATCACTATAGTATGCTGACTTTTTTGGAGGGTGAGTACTGGGTGGGTTCAGGGGCACTGAACCACTGAGCCACATCCTCAGCACTATTTTGCATTTTATTTAGAGACAGGGGTCTCACTGAATTGCTTAGTGCCTCACTATTGCTGAGACTGGCTTTGAACTCTGAATCCTCCTGGCTCAGCCTCCTGAGCTGCTGGGATTACAGGCATGTGCCATTGCGTCTGGCTAGTATGCCAATTTTAAGCCCTTTGGGTATATGCCAAGGAGTGGGATAACTGGGTCAAATGGTAGTTTCATTCCAAGTTTTCTGAGAAATCTCCGTACTGCTTTTCAAAGTGGTTGTATTAATTTGTAATCCCACCAGCAATGTATGAGTGAACCTTTTCCCTCACATCCTCACCAACATTTATTGGTGCTTGTATTCTTTTTTTTTTTTTTAATTTTTTATTGTGGGTTGTTCAAAACATTACAAATTTCTTGACATATCATATTCCACACTTTGATTCAAGTGGGTTATGAACTCCCACCTTCACCCCATACACAGATTGCGGAATCACATCAGTTACACATCCATTGATTTACAAATTGCCATACTAGTGTCTGTTGTGCTCCGCTGCCTTTCCCATCCTCCACCCTCCCCCCTCCCCACCTCTCCCCTCCCCTCCCCTCCTCTCTCTCTACCTCCTCCACTGTATAACCCTGAGGGTCTCCTTCCATTACCATGCAATTTCCCTTCTCTCTCCCTTTCCCTCCCACCTCTCATCCCTGTTAAATGTTAATCTTCTTCTCCTGCTCTTCGTCCCTACTCTGTTCTTAGTTACTCTCTTTATATCAAAGAAGACATTTGGCATTTGTTTTTTAGGGATTGGCTAGCTTCACTTAGCATAATCTGCTCTAATGCCATCCATTTCCCTGTAAATTCTATGATTTTGTCATTTTTTAATGCAGAGTAATACTCCATTGTGTATAAATGCCACATTTTTTTTATCCATTCGTCTATTGAAGGGCATCTAGGTTGGTTCCACAGTCTTGCTATTGTGAACTGTGCTGCTATGAACATCTATGTAGCAGTGTCCCTGTAGCATGCTCTTTTTAGGTCTTTAGGGAATAGACCAAGAAGGGGAATAGCTGGGTCAAATGGTGGCTCCATTCCCAGCTTTCCAAGAAATCTCCATACTGCTTTCCAAATTGGCTGCACCAATCTGCAGTCCCACCAGCAATGTACAAGTGTACCCTTTTCCCCACATCCTCGCCAGCTCTTGTTGTTGTTTGACTTCCTAATGGCTGCCAATCTTACTGGAGTGAGATGGTATCTTAGGGTGGTTTTGATTTGCATTTCTCTGACAGCTAGAGATGTTGAGCATTTTTTCATGTACTTGTTGATTGACTGTATGTCCTCCTCTGAGAAGTGTCTGTTGGTGCTTGTATTCTTGATACTTGCCATTCGGACTGGCATAAGATGAAATCTCAGTGTAGTTTTAACTTGCATTTCTCTAATTGCCAGAGATGTTGAATATTTTTCATATATTTGTTGATCGTTTGTATTTCTTCTTCTGTGAAATGTCTGTTCAGTTCCTTTGCCCATTTATTAATTGGGCTATCAAATAACCTTTTGAAAATGCAAATACATAGATAATTCTTAGCATGCCCCTAGAACAATAGCAAAAATATTTTTGTTTAGAAAGAAAATTGAATCAAAGACAAAAAGCTATTTGTTGCTTTAGAAAAACTTTTTAAGGTCTTTGCAAAATTGATCTTCAATGCTTAAATGGTCTGCTTCTGGGCTGGGGAAGTAGCTCAGTTGGTAGAGTGCTTGCCTCACATGTACAATGTCCTGGGTTCAATCCCCAACACTACAAAAAAACAAGTCTGCTTCTTAGATGGTATAGCTGACTTTGGTTTTAGTTCTGGTTTTGCTCACCATTTGCTCAATGATTTTGGAAAAATCATCTAATATCTCTAGGTCTCATACAGTCATTTTTTAAAAAAGGAATATATTGCCATGTACCAGCAATAGGAATATAATATTTATGTGGGAAACAATATCAATGTTTTCTCCTCTGGCGTTGATGACATAGCTTCAGTTTGTTTGCTTTTTAAGTGAGAGATTGAATTGGGTAGTCTCCACACTCTTTGATCTTTAATTTGGATAGCACAAAGATAGAAGATGATCAAAGAGAGAACTCTCATGGAACTTTTGTATCCCCTCTGATTTAAAGGCACAAATGTACAAATTTCTTGAGGAGACTATTCTCTGAATTTCCTATGGAAGAGAAATTAAAGAAAAGTCTTTGGGGTTACATTTTTTTTCCTTACCTCTTTATCTCATTCTTGGAATGACCAATAAAAAACTAAAATGTCTCAAAACTTTTAATTCCTTCACAAAAACCTGTCTCACAACTTAAAAATACATCCATTTGTGCTAATGTGTCAGACTTTAAAGCTGCTTCCAAAAATATCACTTAATCAAGATATCAGCCCAATGCATGATTAACATCTTAGGAATCTCAACACAGATTCACAAATTCCAAGGGCATAGCTGTGATGCTCAATGCTAACAGAAGGCCAAGTTTTGCCTTCTAGGTGAAAACATGCTGTGATGTCCCGTTTATAGGAGGATGAAAACATGATCAAAATGTGAACTTTAAAACTCTAGGTATAATTCTCATTCTAAGAGCTCCTGAATCTTCATCTACCTTGAGAAAACTTTTGCAGGAGATCTGTTCATTTGGTTAATTAATACACTTTGATTTCAGGAAAAACATATTCTTATACTCCTGGTCTAAGCAAATGATTTTTTTCTCCTCTCTAGAAAACAAGATCTTGGTGAAGCAGTCACCCAGGCTTGAGGTGTACAACAATGAGGTCAACCTTAGCTGCAAGTACACTTACAACCTCTTCTCAAAGGAGTTCCGGGCATCCCTTTATAAGGGTGTGGATAGTGCTGTGGAAGTCTGCGTTGTGAATGGGAATTTCTCCCATCAGCTTCAGTTTTACTCACACACAGGGTTCAACTGTGATGGGAAATTGGGCAACGAAACAGTGACTTTCTATCTCCGGAATTTGTATGTTAACCAAACAGATATTTACTTCTGCAAAATTGAGGTTATGTATCCTCCTCCTTACCTAGACAATGAGAAGAGCAATGGAACCGTTATCCATGTGAAAGGTAAGATGCAACTCTATCCTCCTACCACCGTAAAGTCATAAGTTTAAGCTATAGTCTTGAAAATGAGATAGGATCAGTGGTGAGGCTGGAGTAGTCCCCAGTGATTTAGTAAAGACAAGTCATTTTTAAAAAGTTTTCCTTTACTTTAGAAAAGATTCAAAGTTATAATTTGAATATCTTTACTCAGTGACATGGAGTGGGAGAGTGAGTGATGAAGTTATAGCCCATGGGAACATGAAGATTCTCAATTTGAGTGGGTCATGACAGAATAGAAATTTTGCTATTAAAATATAAGTCTAAGTGAACTCCAAGAAGCAGCTGGGCCTAATGGATCAGAACTCAGGAAGAGTGGGTTATAATTCAAACTAATCACCTTTCTACTCCACAGTCTTCCTCTGTTAAGTACTTTTTTTCATTTTCCAAAACATACAAAGGATGCTGGGCTAGAAACCAGGGGATATAAAATTTGCTATTAATTAACTCTGTGATCTTGATAAGTTGCCATACTTTTTCAATGCCCAAAACTTAATATTATTAAACAGTATTCATGAATTAGTGGAAATAAGTCTATTGATCTGATGTTGAGATTATGTTCTCTCCAAATAGTAGGTAGAACACCCCCCCAATACAGAAGAATACAGTTTATTGGTATCAACACATAAAAATGAGAGTGGCTAGATAAAAAAAAAATTTTGGTACTCTTTGTGGATACACTATTTCCTTTCTGTAGAACAATAATTAAAAATGTATGCTCAGTTTTATATTTAATACTAATATAATTCCAATAAATATTTTTTCTCCTATGCTAAACAGAGGTATGCTGGAGAAAAATCAAATATTAAACAAGAAAAGAACAATTAACTTAATTTGGGAGAATAATTTTGTGTTCTTGAAAAATAGAGGCAATTAATGTGAGAATGTTTGGCTTGCTGAATTCTATTCAGATATCTAATTTCTATGATGTCCGGGCTGAATAGTTTGGTTGGGTCAAGTTAAAGCTTAAGAAAATATACTTTAACTTGACCCAACCAAACTATTGGTTTGCAGTGAAGAGCAAATGTTTTTCTTATGTAAATGATATTCTACTTTAGGATAGTACTTCACACACACACACACACACACACACACACTTATGCACATAGTATATCATTTCTAGCAGAAATGGAAAGGATACCAGTGATCCTTAGTAATCTTCAAATCTACTTGCATATTATAAATATGAGTAGGTTTAGGGGAAACAAACAAACAAACAAAAAATCCATTCCTAGGCCCAACTTTGAGAGTCTGATGTACTTGGTATGAGTTGAGGAAGGGGTGTTAGATATTGTTATATTTTCAGACTTTCTCAGACAATTCTAATGTGCATCTCGGATTAAAAAATCAATACACTAGATAGTTTTTGTTGTTCTTTCCAATTCTAATTGTCTCCAATTTTGACTAGAACTCTACACATTCCTTCCCATGTTTGGATACCTGATGGTATAAAGTGACTTTTTCACCACAACATAAGCTGTTAGAGTTGAAGCTAGACATTTATCTTTGTATTACCAGCCCAGATTTTTGCCATACTAGATTGATAATTTTCTTAAGGTTTGAAAACATGTATATCATTTAACTTATTCCAAAAATATAGCTTGGGATCTGGATAAACTGGCTTCTTGTGGGGGTAGGGTATGGAATTGGATTAAGACCATTGGAAGTCACTATTTTGAATCACAAAGTGAGTTCAACAAAATCAGGTGAATACAGTTGTACCAGTGTACTACCTTAACTTCAATCTTGAAAATGGACCATTCTGGTCAGTGGTGAGGTTGTATAAATCCCAAAGATGAAGTCTACACATTCTAAGCTCATGATGTTTTACTTATTTTTATCTCTTTCGCATTCTTCTCTAATATTCAGAAGAAAGGAAATGTACTCAACTGCCATTCCTGTATCATTTAATCCACTCTATTCTTTTTCAGAGAATAATATTTGTCCTGGTGTCCCATCTCCTGAGTCTCCTAAGCCCTTTTGGACACTGGTGGTGTTTAGCGGAGTCCTGGGTATCTATAGCTTGCTATCAACAATGCTCCTTTGTTATTTATGGGTAAGAGATACTGCACTGCTTTTATGGAACTTTTCTACTACACATGCAATCTGAACATATTAAGAATTTTGCCTATGTGATTTATTTTCTGTTAACCATGTGATTATTTTCATCTTGTTCAACTTTATCTTTTATTTTCCAGAAGGCACTGTGTAGGTGGCCAGGTAGAATAAGAAACCAAATGGGCAAATGGGGGTGGGGTGGGATTAGCAACAGTTATCTTTCTTCTTCCCAGTTTGCAATTTAATTGTGACACACACAACAGCTTTAACATATATAAGGTTCAAAAATCTAGACAACTCAGGAAATTAGGCAACTGAAGCAAAGGGAGAACTTTGGTTCAGGTTTAAAAATCATGAGAAACTTGGCTACTGAAATTGTGTATTCAAACCTAGAAGAAACTAGGTCTGTTTATCTGAGTCATATTTTTTTGTCTCCTCTGAAGCAGCTGAATGGTGTGAGGCCAAGCATGGGATTGTCATTATGAAACTACAATGGGAGTTAGACTTTTCTGAGCTCTCACCACTGAATTGGAGTTGATCAATTTTTGCAAAGGCTCAGGTGATGAACTTGGTATATTGTTCTTTACCTTCTTCAATGTTGAATTTTTGGCCCAGGTTTGAACACATTTTAATGAACATATCCACCATTGAGAAGGGACCTCCTTAACAAGGATCTCTTCCTTAGACACCTTCTTCTTATTACAGATGCCTCAGGTATTGATTTTGTGTGGGTTTCGCATGTTTTTCTAGAAGTTAAATGCATACATGAGCCATTTATTCAATGAGAAATGCAGGCCTCTCTAGGATAAAGGACTGCTTCTCTTGTTATTCTCAGTTCATCTGGTATTAAGTACATTTAATGCTTGATGAATGCTCACTGGGTTATTAGATATTGGTATAAATGAATAATCCTTATAGAGGCCAAATTAAGGACTTAAAGAAGCCTACCTAACATGTGATACTCATCTCTGAGGCATAATCCATTGATTTAATTAAGCCACAGATGGTCTGTGATTTCTAGAAGCCATGCCACATGGAATCTATTTACTTTTCCTTGGTGTGGGGATGGAAGGTCTTGCATTCAGAGTTATGCTCTTCTTCATCCAGTCTTAGAGGCTTTTAAACTCATGGTGGTCTCTAGTCAAAGTTGGCCCATCAATTATTCTCCACGCATTCCTCACAGTTCAGAAGATTCTAGGGGTCAGATGAACATTCATCAAGCTGCCTATGGCCTGATTTGTACCTTCTGCAGGGCAGGGGACAAAGTTGCTGCTTGTTCCTGGGAATTCTTTGCACTAGATATCATTTTGGGAATTGGCCTGGCTTGCCTTTTGCAACTTGCTCTATCCTGATGGGGTGAGGGAGGGGGTTTTAATATAGTAAACTATTGCCTAAGTTCTTCCTCTGATGTTAGTCAAGTATTTTCATCTTTCCAGATCATGGGGTCTTTATCCCAGGTATCTTCCAATTTTAATCCTCTGTGGTGATTGCCAATGATTTTGGAATTTTTAGTTCTTTTTTTTTTCTGAATTCCTGGCCATTGACTTTTAGGTCCACTGTATGGCTTTCCAGTTCTTTCATTGGGAATCTCAACTTCCTAACTTAAAGGCCAGGGACACCCCTCCAGGAAAGGCCTCCCTAAGACATGCTGACTAGCTCAAAGTAATTTACTAATTTGGGAACTGCTTTAACTTTTTAGGGCCAAAAGGGTACTATTCATCTTTTAGACCTTATTGTAAATATGCATTAGACTGTCCGTTACTAAAATGAGGCACTAATTTGTTGAGTGACTGGAATCGCCCAAAAGAACAAATATAGCTTCGTATTTTCATTAAGTTTAAGCATCTCGCTTTCAGCTCAGACATAGCATAGATGCTCTGGGTTTTTCTTGGGCAAAAATACTAATTTACAGTGGGGTTCATCTTATTTGTCTTGAAAAAATATACTTTGTCTCGCTCTATCTCACAAGCTCCCTATGGATTGGACAGTCTTAGTGCTTGGCATTCCTTGTGGTCTCTTGTAGTCAAATCAAATTTTCCAGTAAGAAATCCTTTATTATCATCTCAAACCTAGGTCCTTGGATTCTCTGATCATAGAGTGTAAATCAAAATACACCTCTGTTTAATAGAATAACTTGGCATTTTTACCAGGATCAAGTCTTTTCTTGTTACTGCTGTTTAAGCAACGAGCTAGGCATGGAGGCCATCGGGGAACAGGAAATTGATCCATTTCCTGGGTGATTTTCTGGGATCCTATTTTTGGCTGGTCCTATAGTAGACCTTGGTGAAAGTTTCTGTTTTCTGGAACTTCCTGAGGGCCCTTGATGTGCTACTGTAGGCAGTTCTAGGCTGAGTGGGTTTTTGGGAGCAGCTGTAGATTCTATCTCTGTTCTTGACCTGATGTTGACACTTGAATAAATAAAAAGCTTCTCTTGGTCAGGCTGCCATGGGCCAGCACCTGTTGCTCTCATTCAATTCTCCATTCATGCAGCTGAGCTGGGTAAACCTGTTCCTTTTCCTAAACTAAAGAGGCTTTTTAAAAACAAACAAACAAACAGAAAAACACATGTCTTCTCTACTGTGGACCATAATGTGGAGAACATGAATAGCATGTGTACAGATAATATCTGCCTTTAAGTCCAGTAAATTCTTTTTTAAAAAATATTTTATTAGTTATTGATGGACCTTTATTTATTTATATGTGGTGCTGAGAATCGATCCCAGTGCCTCACACATGCTAGGCAAGCACTCTACCACTGAGCCACAACCCAGCCCCACAGTAAATTCTTGAAGACTGATTCTTTGAATAGATTGCTTTATACATGCCCTTATGTGTTGCTGCTCCTCCCAAAAAACAGGTGGATAAGGCAGAGGTGGAGGGAAGGGCAAAGGGCAAAGAGCAAGTGATCCTGAAATCACACATTTTTCGTAGACATTGGTGAAGGGGTGGAATCGATGACACAAACACACAGACACATTAGGTGGGTCCTCTGGCCATGTGCTAGATGCACATGGGCACTGTGGGTTCTGGATAGTATTCCCATCCATGCATCTGTCATTCCCATTCTGCTGTTGTGTTTAGAGTCAGGATGACATTAACTAAATCCACTATTTGATAATTGTTTGAGGGTAAGGATGGGAACCAAATGCAGCAGATCTTACATTATTTTTGTGTGAACTCTGGAGTGCCTCAGAAGACATCTTTATTATTGGGTTTCCCTCTACTGTCTATAGTTTTGTTCAGGTGTCAGAGACAAGGGCAGTCACTTGGGAGTTTGGCAAAGGTATTGGAGTAAGCATGAAAAATGCTTCCTAGGTATCAGAAGCAGTAGCCTTCTATATTTATTTGGATGCCGACATTTCCTTGATCTCACCACTGCCCTTCTGTAACTCTATGAAGAGAGTTCTAGTCTTTTATTTCTAGTAAGGATGTAGAAGTAAGTGATATTGAAGAGCACCATCATTCAGATGCTTGACTTCCATGTGTATCTCTATCCGAACGAATCTCCCTATTATGTATGTATTATGTTCTTCTCTCTTCTTAGATCCAGCCAGATAGCTCATCCATTAACTCAAATCTAAAATAGCCAGAGCTGAATTTTTAACCTTCTTTTTCCAATCTACTTCTCCTATTGCCTTGCTTTACATCTATGGGTGGGGGGGACACTATACTTCTGGTCAACTAGGCTCAAATCATCATTACCTTTGGGTTTGAGTAAGGAGGAGTCAAGCAGTTTAATAATATTCTTTCTTATTTGGTGATATGTTTTATATCCATTACTTTCTTGTCATTCCATTTTTTTTTCATGATCAGACTGTTTAGGTCAGAATTTTCCAGTCTTGGCACTAGTGATGTTTTGTGCTAGATAATTCCTTAATAGATGCCCTGTACAGGATGTTTAGCAGCATCTCTGGCATTTACTCACTAGATGCCAGTAGCATACCTTTCCATTGTGACAACCAAAAACATCTTCACACTTTTCCAAATGTTTCCTGGGACAGGTGATAAGGGAGCTCAAGACGTCAAGGATAAGGCCTAGGAGGTCTGGCTTGGGCAACTGTCATTTACTGATATGAGAAACACCGGGAGAGAGAGAGAGTTTGAGGGAAGATCTTGAGTTTCATTTTGGACAGGTTGAGTGTAGAGTGCCCTTGGAGTCTAGTCCTAAGGTGCCAACTGCAGCCGGAACGTGAATGAGATTGCCTTAGGGAGAGAGGATAGAGGGAATAGAGAAGGCCAAGGATCAAGCAGTGAGAAATTCTAACATTGAATGGCAAAAGAAGCACAGAAGAAGTGACCAGCAAGGTAGGATGGATACCAGGATGTCACAGAAGGCAAAGAGGAGGTGTTTCAAAAAGGAGAGCTATCAACAGTACAGTCATCTTTGGTGTCCATATGGAATTGGTTCTAGAACACCCTCAAATATCAAAATCCATGGATGCTCAAGTCCCTTATATAAAATAGGTTGGTATTTGCATATAACTTATGCACATCTTCCTGTGTACTTTAAATCCTCTCTAGACTTATAATACCTAAAACAATGTAAATGTTCTGTATATAGTTGTGTGGTTTAAGGAAGAATGAAAAAAATTCTTTAATTAAAAAATTATTCAAAAATATTTAAAATAATGTTTTAAAAAATATATATATTTTTAGTTGCAAGTGGACACAATAGCTTTATTTTATTTTTATGTGGTCCTGAGGATCAAACCCAGTGCCTCATGTGTGCTAGGCAAGCACTCTACCACTGAGCTACAACCCCAGCCCTAAAAATAATATTTCTAAAAATTATTTAGAATTTTAAAAATTAAAAAAAATTTAATTTTTTTAAGAAAAAAATTATTTAAAAATATTTTCCATCTGTGTTTTGTTGAATCCATGGATGGAGAACCCAGGGATTCTGAGGGATGTGTAGGATGGTGCTGAGAGTTGAAGAGGATGAGGGCTGAACATGTTAGTTGCACTTAGTAATGTGGAGAGCAGTGTTTTTGAAATCTTTCTCTAGCATTCTGTGCCCCTGTAACAAGGAAGTTGTGAAGAGGTCAGGGAGGAGAGCACGGAAATGAGATCAGGACTGAAGTCATTTACTTATGCGCTTATTCAGGTTTCTTCTCATTCATCTCCAGTGTATCTACTTATGCATCACCTTGTGTGCCAGGAAATAGGCATTCTTTTTCCATAATAGAGAATTATGAATTCAGAAATCCAGATGTTTTTCTAATTTTAGAATACCTATGGGACTTTGGTCAAAACTGTACATTTTATCATTGTATTGATATACAAATGATGCTCCTCGCCCTGGGACAAAAATTTTGCTAAGATTCATGGTGAATGTAACTCTTGCTTCAGGTTCAGGATCCTTCCTTTTCCCCTCAGCCCTGGTAGGAGTTCCTCCTGAGGAAGATGAGCCCTGGGAAAAGGGATGGGTAACCCAATTGTCTTTACAGAAATACAGGCACATAAAAGTGCAGGAATGTGACTAGTTATTCAGAACTGTAAATCTCCATTAATTTGGACTTCACTGTTATGAATTTATACTCACTCCAGACTCTGGAGGAGCTAAAGGTCCTTTTTGGTTGATTATGGAAATATGGCTTGTTAAGCAAATGACTAATGTAAAAAGATTACAGTGGTAATGCTTAATTCATTCAGAGATGGATTAATTAATATCAATAGTAAATAGGTTATTTAGATATACTGTTGCACTTCAAGTCAAATGACAGCTTTAAGAGTGATATCTATATGATACATTTCTCTAAAATATTTTCTTTGATTGAGATTTTTCAAGTTAATTTAGAACAGCCAATAGTGAGTTGATTAGTCTAAGTCCAAGGTGCTCAAGAAATGCTTGTGTTTAGCAACATCTGACAGTTAATATTCTTAATAGGTGTCTACAAAATCTTAGAACGCCTCTCCTAATATCTCCCCCATGTCCTTCCACATTAACACTTCTTTTTCCTGCAGACGAAGCGTCAAAGAACCAGGCTTCTTCAGAGTGACTATATGAACATGACTCCCCGGAGGCCGGGGCCCACCCGCAAACACTACCAGCCCTATGCCCCAGCACGAGACTTTGCAGCCTACCGCCCCTGACAAGGACGCCTATCCAGAAGCCAGCCGGCTGGCACCCCTCCACCCACACAACATCAATGCTCTGGATAGGAAAGGACTGATTTATCATCAGCCGGCTGTCTCAAGCCCCTGTTGGGCCACCAATACCAATTTTTATTGAGATTGTGGATGAAATATCAAGATCATTTTGAGACTCAGTTAAAAAAATATCCTTTGGCAGGCTAAGTCTTGCAGGGCCATGACCCACATTCAAACTTATCATGTATTTATTGACTTGGTTGAAGAGTTAGAGTAGAAAATAAAAAGTGAGTGGATTCTGTTAGCTTTTGGAATCTGCTTCCAGGCTGCTGGGCTGAGCCCTCTTCTCTTCTCAATCCCCTGCACATCTCAGTCAAGCAAAGTGTGATATCCAGGGCTATTTTAAATGGAGAAGAAAGGCTATAAAACATTCCCTTTTAAAGTGGGTGTTTAGCCCTGCACAGAACTCAACTCAAAGTAGATCAAGGACTTAGGCATTAGACCAGAGAACTTGCATCTAATAGAAGAAAAAGTAGGCCCAAATCTCCATCATGTAGGCTTAGGAACCAACTTCCTCAACAAGACTCCTAAAGCGCAAGAAGTAAAATCAAGAATCAATAAATGGGACGGTATCAAACTAAAAAGCTTCTTCACAGCAAAGGAAATAATCAAGAATGTAAAGAGAGAGCCTTCGGAAAATCTTTGCCACCTGCACCTCAGATAGAGCATTAATCTCCAGGATATACAAAGAATCAAAAAACTTAACACCAACCCCCCCCCCCCCAATAACCCAATCAATAATTGGGAACTGAATAGGTACTTCATTGAAGAAGAAATATGAACAGTAAACAAATATATGGAAACATGTTCAACATCTCTAGCAACTAGAGAAATGCAAATTAAAGCTACACTGAGATTCCATTTCACTCCAGTTAGAATAGCAATTATCCAAAATACAAGTAATGATAAATGTTAGCGAGAATGTGGGGAAAAAGGTTCACTCATACATTGTTGATGGGACTGCAAATTGGTGCAACCACTCTGGAAAGCAGTATGGAGATTCCTCATAAAACTTGGAATGGAACCACCATTTGACTCAGTTATCCCACTCCTCAGTTTATACCTAAAGGACTCAAAATCAACATACTACAGTGATGCAGCCACATCAATGTTTATAGCAGTTCAATTCACAATAGCCAAGCTATGGAACCAAACTAGGTACCCTACAACAGATGATGAATGAATAAAGAAAATGTGGCATGTGTGTGTGTGTGTGTGGGTATATGTATATATACCCACACACACACAATGAAAAAATAACTCAGCCATAAAGAATAATGAAATTATAGCATTTGCTGATAAATGGATGGAACTGGAGAATATCATGCTAGGTAAAGTAAGCCAATCCCAAAAAACTGAAGGTGGAGTGTTCTCTCTGATATGTGGATGCTAACACGTAATAAGGGATGGGGACAGAGGAAGAGAAGTTCATTGGATCAGACAAAGGAGAATAAAGAGGGAGAAGGGATGGGAATAGGAAAGATGGCAGAATGAATTGGACATAAATTTTCTATGTTGGTATATGAATATATGACCAGTGAAACTCCACATCATGTACAACTGCAAGAATGGCATCCTAATTGGAATAAGTTATACTCCATGTATGTATGATATGTCAAAATACACTCTACTTTCATGTATATCTAAAAAGAATAAATATATGTATGTGTATATATATATATATATGTAAATAAAATAAAATGGGTGTTTAGGGTGGATATAGGTTAGTGTCTCCCACTCATGAAATGAGCCACTTAGTTTCTATTTAATACTTGTTTTCTTCTTAGTTTAGAAAGATGTGGACATTGTCTTTGACAAAGTTTGAGCATTTTTAATCATTTTGACCAACAAAATTCCCTTAAAACAGCTCCAGGACTTGCTTTCTCATTCCTTCTAATGGAATTCAGTGTTAGCCTCCACAGCCTGATTTCAAAAGAATAAAATAGCATAACTAATTTTCCCTATCCAGTAGAATGTGTCAGGAAATAAGGTCACTTGATTTCAAAAGTATGTGAATACTATGAAGGATTATTTGTTTAGTGGCTCATTCCAGTCAACCCCTATATGTTTCAGCTTTGCACATTGGGTCACTTTATTATCTGCAGGGATATCTGAAATATAATAGTGACAGAGAATTCACAGAAGAAGTTATGATACTGTGAAAAAGGAATTGAGCATTCAGTATGTATGAGGGCTGAGTTCCAAGGACTTCTTTTGAAGAAGGCAAAATAAAAGGGAATGAAACAGTTCTTGCCTTGTGCTAAGGGGGCTGACATTGGGTAGAATTTTTCCTGAATGCATCAGACAGAAAGAGCACTGGTGGGAGCTCCTCTCCAGGGACTTTGCGTGCATTAGGGCTCAGAGCTGCAAAACTCTGTGGGCTCAGCTACCTGTGTACCCTGGAGGTACATTTGAGGTACCCTTGACTTGGAAGACTATTTTGAAGTATGACTTTTGAGAGAACACCAAAGTTCTCAAGAGACTTTGCAAGGCTTAACCCTGGAATGACCATGGATATTTTTCTGCCTTCATTTGAGTCAACTGAAATATGTCTGAGACCCTGAAGAATGTCTCTACTGTCACCTTTACAATTTCTCCAGCTCTTTGGTTTAGTTGGTTGTTAGGGGAACCTAGGTTTTAGAGGCAGATAGACCTGGTTCAAATCCTATTACTAGTTAGACATTCTTAGGCAAGCCATTGCTCATCTAAGTCTGTAGTTCTTCAACTATTAAGTGGACACAATAATCACAAATTTCTGTTCCCATATTATAATCTCCATGAGGCTTGTCCAAATTTGACTTTGTTTTAACTGTTCTTGGTATTTGTATCATGCCCGATAAACCATGTTAGTTCTTGTTATTTTTGCCAATATTTTAAGTTTTTATAAATGTTATAATTTATTGTTTTATAGATGAATTATAAAATTAAAGTGGACAATGACCTAATAAGGGAGGAAACATGTAATATAAGTTTAAATCCAAATTTATGAGTTACTATAAAATTGGTTAACTTCCATCATTTTCTCGTGTCTTGGAATATTTTATATTGTCATGAAATATTGGGCATTTCTCCCCCACTTTTCTCTACATAAAGAGGTCTTTAAAAAGCTTTTTAATGGGTAGAGGTGGGAGGAGTAAGAATGTTATGATTCTAGATGAAAAATATTATATTCTGGTTGATTTTTAAATCCAAAGAAGGTCAAACTCAGCAGTAGTTGGGTAATGAAGCACTATTGAAATTATACTTGCATTTGTGCCAGCTTCCTGGCACACAGTGTTCTTTAATCCAAGTTATCATATTGTATTTGAAGAGCTGGAGAACTCTCAGAAAGGGTAATGGCACATAAATAAATGAATTTTTTTTAAATGGAAAGATTTGATCTTTGGTAGTCAACGATTTTGTTTTCTAACTGGAAAAGTAGGCTTACTAAAGATGAATCACACTTGAGATTTTTCTTACTCACTCTGAACAGAACCAAAGCAGAAATGTTACACAGGGAAGTCCATTTTCACTATTAGTATGAATGAAGAATGGTTTAAAAACAGTGGTTGGAGTAATGCTTTGGCAGTTTTGGTAATTATGAAGAATAACAATATCAGTTGCTGCTATTATTGTAAGAGTCTTATAATTAATGATGCTCCTTTAATTTTTTATTGTGAACTTTCTTATTTGGGGTTGAGCATGCCAATTTAAAGAGAACACGTAATGAACGGAAGGGAGGGAGGGTGGGGATAGAAAAGACAGTAGAATGAATCCGACATAACTTTCCTATGTTCATATATGAATATACAACCAGTGTAACTCCACATTATGTACAACCACAAGAATGGGAAGTTATATTCCATGTATGTATGATATGTCAAAATATACTCTACTGTCATGTATATCTAAAAAAGAATAAAAAAGAGAGAGACCACATATATATTATATTCTATGTGTTGAGTGATAGAATTGCCAGACTGTGGTGTGCCTGCTTTAAATTTGTTCTTTGATATTGTATTCAAGGCAGAGATGCTTCACTTTGGCAATGAATCTGGAGAAAACTTGCTACTTGAAAGAGATGTGGGTAAATCCTTTTATATCTCTGTTTTAGCCTTTTTAGGGCCAGACTTTCTAATATTAGTTTCATTTCAAACAAGGTACACTTCTGATTAGTTCTCTTAACTTCTGTCACAGTTCTCATCAGCCCAATGGTTTACCTCTCTGAAATTTCAGGCTGGGCTCACCTGTGCTTTCTGTGTGGTGGGAATGCTCCAGGAGAGAGCATGAACTTCTGTCCTGAGTCTGTCAATCCCAAGGATTAACTGAGGCTCCAGTCTGCACGGCAATTTTAATGGGCATGTCAGTGGCCAAATGGATGTCTGATTTTTCTTCCCAGTTTTGCCCTGCTAGACGGGAACTTTAGCAGACTTGGGGACTGATCCCACAGTGTTAAATTCGCCTACATGTTGGAGGTTGGAGATGGTGCCAATGATGGATCTAGAACCAGGATCATCACTGCCATAGACATACATTAACCCAGGCCAAAGACAGTGGCATAGATTCTTTTGAGACTGGGGTGAATGAGTCTGTGGTCTCCGTGAGGTCATTTGAGGCTCAGAAAATCGCTGTCTCTTAAGTATGTCTGTGAATGATTTCTGACAGGTTGTTCCCATCTCGGGGCTTTTACACATATTACTTCCTTTGTCTGGAATGTTCTTCTTGAGATATCTACTTGGCTTGATCCCCCACCTCCTTCATTCCTGGCTCAGGTGTCATCCTCTACCTTAGTTAATTCCCAATCCCACCACCCCACACAGACTCTGTCTGCTTTCCTTGCTTATTTTTCTTCCCAAGGTGTTTTACCACCTCTTACACTAGATGTTTACTCATTTGTTTGTTTCCCCAAACTAGACTGTAAGCTCCATAAGGCAAATCACTCTCCCTGTTTCCTTTTATTACTGTATCTCCAGTGCCTAGAATAGTGCTTGAAGTGCAATAAATATTTGTTGGCTGAATAAATAAATTTCATATTGGTTTATGAATTAATGGCCAGTTTAAGTGGTCTGGTCACACTCTGAGAAGGAGAGAGCCATTTTTATTTTCCATTTTTTTCAAGGTCAAAACCTCATTTTATTAGAGAAACAGGCGGCAAAACATATACACAGCCAAATCTGGTGAAAGAAAAACTGATGAATGTAAGTTAATTTACATTTTAGAAATTTTTGTGCAGTGTGGAAAACTAATACTGTTAGAAAGAATCATCCTAAATAAACCACAGTCTGGAATAACTCCATTTTCCATTGAAGTCTCCAAATTCCCTCTTGTGAGAACATTAACTATGTTTTAAACATATCTTTAGCCTAAGTCTTCTGAAAATGTTGCCTTTGTAGTTAAAAATCTCATCCTACTGCTGAACTGCTGCTCTTTCCTATGGAGTAATTTTACCCCAACAAAATCTGTAAATGCCTGGTCTGGCTCTGATTCAAAGGGACCTCAAAAATGGAAATGCTGAGGGGGCTGGGGTTGTGGCTCAGTGGCAGAGCGCTTGCCTCACACACATGAGGCACTCAGCACCACACAAAAATAAATAAACAAAGTAAAGATATTGTGCCCATGTATAACCAAATTTTTTTTTTTAAATGAGAATGCTGAGGACAGAAAACGTCAGCATCTTCCCTGTCAAACTCATGTCACAACTGAGCACTCTAATAGTTTGCAAGAGTTTCAAAACAAGAGAACAACAAAAAATAAAGCAGGGTATTTGGAGCAAGATGAAGATTTGCATGCACACGCACATGCACATGCACACACACACACACATTCTGCTATCATCTCGTGAGGGCAGGCTTTAAACAACATACACGAGAGCTTGATAATTCATTTAGCAGCCTCTGTTTCCTTGTTGTAATTTTTACACAATGAGTTCATCTTCAAGCTGATTTAAAACTTATTAAACTTAATAAAGTTCATGCAAGCTTGAAAAAGATGAGCTAATGTATCTCCCACTACTCAAGAAAGAGGGAATCAGTAATTCATGGATGGTCCAATTTCAAACCAATTAGAAAGGAACCAGAGTGGTAAAAAAATCGACCATTAAATAAACCTGCTCCATAAGCACTCCTATCGTACTAATAAAAATAGCACAACCTAGTTCTGTAATAAAGTCCCAGTACCTTGAAATTCAAGATCAACTTTATCTAACAAACCTCCCACCATGTTCTAGTTACATAGTCCAATCAAATAGATCTGGTTCCTTTTTCAGCAGCACCTTCCGTCCTTTCTTATCTGGAACAGAGACAATGGATGGATGAGAAAAAAAATCAAAGAAACTTCTGGGTCCTTTGCAATGGGGGCTGGATCACCACACCAAGCACTAGCGAATGGGGTGGTCTAGGAACCACATCAGAGCCTTTTTGGTAGCTTTGTGTCTCCTGAGTTCTATTTGTGTCTTCTGCACTGAGGCACTGCCTAACCCTTGACTTCTCGGCAGGGGTGCTTAAAGTTTGATTCCTCAGGAATGCATATGAGTGGCTGGACCTCTCCACTTTCTCTGATTTGACATCCCAGAAGAAATATGTTTTCCCTTTGAAGATTCACTGGCTTCCAGCACATAGAGACCCAGGCAACTGCCCAGAGCAGAATGTGGCTCACTTTCTCAGCATATCTTTTTTTTCATTTCATGGTGCTTGAAAATCACTTGGGATGATATTTGAGACATCTGAGAATTACCATCTTTTCCAAGCTGACTTCATTCTAGGTGCAACACCAAGGGCCATGTGTGTTTCCCAAAGGCCATTTCCCTGTTTTATTTGCCTGTTTAAACTTTATGAAAGGGTTTGGAGTGTCAGAAATTCAAGGTGACAAGAAGTTGTAAAAAGTTGAAGTGATCTCAGGGTAGAGTGGCTTGGATTTTACTTAACACTTCACCGGGGAGAGTTAGTTATTTCAATGACAGATTTAAACACTGTCTCCAAAGAACAAACCGTGAACTGGGTGGAAATGTCAGTTGAGAAAGAAGAGCAGCAAACAGCTTTGTTTTCCTATAGTTGTGGTTTTACATGGTGATGATGACAACGAAGATGAAAATATGCAGCATGAACTCCAGTTGTTATCTGAGTGAGCATCTCTGCCAACGCTGAAGGATATGTGTGGGTGTCACCTGCAAGCAGAGACAGAGAGAGAGAGAGGGAGAGAGAGAACAGGAGGGAGGCCCTGCTTTGGAAAGAAGAGCCAGCTAACAATGATCAACAGTAACAAGTGATTTCTGTTTATCTCATGAACTTTAGATTCTATTTCCTTCCCCTCGCTAATCTCCACATCTGAATTTAGTCTGAGGACTAAATCTATGAGTGGCTTAGTGACAGAAGAAGGGGGTGGAAAAAGTTGACTTGAATGGACATCAGGACAGTTGCCATAGTCAGTCATCTCTCCAGTCTCGTGGGCACACACTTAACAATTGCTACATTAGCTTCCAAAGTAGGGATTTTTGCTAACTTTTGCAAACCCGTGACATATCACACAGGGCAAAAAACTTGAGTTTTTTTTCCGCTCCCAATCCTGTGCAAGTCTTGGTTCACTAGCTTTACGTTTCTCCCTCTTCTCTTCCTCTTCATTCATTCAATAACTATTTAGCTCTGAGGAGCGGGCTAGGTACTGGGGATGTGGCAGAGAGCAACATGAACTTTATTATTTCTGCACTTATAAAGTATAGAGTGTGTACTTTGTATATCCCTTTGTTTCTCCCCTCCCCGAATCATTATATTCTGCTCCTCAGGGTAACCACTTAATCTTGATTGTGGAATGTAGACTTTAATGTGGCTACCGGTCAGTCTTTGCTTATTGGTTTGTCTGAAATTTATTTTTCTGAGATTCTTACTTAATAGCTCTCACACTTTTAAGGTCTTAGACCAGGAACTGGCAATTTTTTTTCTATAAAGGGCCAGATGATAATCATTTGAGGCCTTGTGTCTGTACTGTCTCTTTTAGATACTCAAGCCTGCCATGATGTATAAACCAGTCACTGACTGTATGTAAACAAATGAGCATCCCAACAAAACTTTATTTATGAGCATTGGGACTTTAATTTTATATACGTTTCATGCCAGTTAACATTACTGTTCCTTTAGTCTTCCCCACCCCCGGCCCCAACCATTTAGACCATGTAAAATCCATTCTCAGCTTGTGGGATGGACAAAGGCAGGCAGTATTTCCTTCCCCTCACTAATCTCCACATCTGAATTTAGTCTGAGAACTAAATCTATGAGTGGCTAAATCTATGAGTGGGATTTGGTATGTGAACTACAGTTTGCTGACCTCTGACTTAAAACCTAACCCACAATTTTAGCTGTAAGCTTGTCTTTGAGTTAGAATCACCAACTATCTGGTTATGGTTGGAAG